AAAAATTGCACTGTATTAGCCAACAATTGTGCGCTTGTGCCATTGAAACTCATACAGGTAGGTATATTGGAGCATCCCCTTTTAGACCGAATGAAATTCCAAAAGGCCTTGGGATTTTCTTTCAATTCACATTCAAATCTGCTTATATATTTATTGTAGAGGAATTTGTCAAGGACATTAAATTTCTTCATGAAATGGAGATATCTGTGCTTTAGATTAATATCGTTATTACTAGAATTGTACAATTTGTGATACTTGTTTCTTTTGTTTTTAAGTTTCTTAAGATTGCTCGTATACCAAGGCAGTCGGTGAGTCTAAGGCGGGAGTAAAGAAAGCTTAAGAGTGAAAAGGTCAGTTAGCTTGCGTAGGAAGATGAAAAACATTCACTCACGTCATGCGAATTGAGGACAGAGCTCCAATATATTTCTATCGAAATTCACATCACGAAAGTTGAAGGCAGAACAATTATTACGCACTAATGTTATGTCGTCGAAAAAAACTTTACTTATCGGAAAATCACATTCTAAAACATTGAATATTAAATTTTCATTAACAAAAACAAGATCGAGTAGTTTAAATAGCTTATTACGTCGATTATTAATTTGTGAGAGATTTAAGCTAAAGAGGCTATCAATAAAATTTATTTCATGAGATCTATTAATATTCGTTGGAGTCAAGATACCAGTGTTTTGTAATTGCATCTAACTAACATCAGTGAGGTTATAATCCCCGAGAATACAAAAATTAGAATTGTCATTATTTCCACAGAGACTAACAATATTAGCCCTGTTCGCGTACGCACTATCCAGTATATCCAGTACTAATTTTACTGGTTTTTTACTGGATGTCGTTTTCGTAAGCAAAAACTTGCAAGAAACTAGCAAAAGAGGGGAAATTGAGAGAGCAAAAATGACAGCTGAACTTGCAAGTATTACTAGATTTTTACTGGATAAATTTTTGCTAGCAACTATTTGCTAGTAAGAAAAACAGCTGATGGCATGATGATTATTGTAAATCACATTAAGAAAAAAATTGTTTGTGGTGCTTTTAGAGTTGCTATTGATAAAATAGACCTATTTAAATATATAATAAAATGGAAAACACTAGTTTTCTAAGAAAATTGCATCGGAAAATAACAAATTAATCAGCTGTTCATAAAACTAGCAACTTCTTGCTGGTTTTGCGTTTTCGTACTTTCTTGCATATTTCACTCAATGGGAGTAAATATTGGCTTACTCTCCGAAATTTGGTTACTGGCCAGTTACTGGATATTTTTTGCTGGAGAATACGAAAACACAACTATTGTCAACAACAAATCCGAGCTATTCGGCGGAATATATGAAACACAAATAAATAATTTCCCAAAAGAACCATAGAGGCAAACGCAGAGCTGGTCCAGTATAGAATCATTATTCATAAGCGGCGACAAAGATGATCGCAGATGTTGCCTTACTGCAATTAGCACACCAACACCCTTTCCACGGCCAGTTTTCACTGCGTCTCTATCTTTTCGATAAAGATGAAAAAGCGTTGGATTGAAAAATTCCTCATCGAAAAATTCCTCATCGAAAAAATCACTATTAAGCCATGTTTCGATAAGAACATCAACGTCGTATTCACAGCGAGACGTGTTTAAATATACTTCTTTAGATTTAGTCCGCAAACCTGACATATTTTGGAAGAATATTTTAAGATGCTTACTCGAAAAAACATTATGTCTTAACGGTGCACTATTTGTCCGCATCTGGGTGTCCTTTCTGAAAAAATCAGAAAGGACGCACGCTAATGTCCCCTGGCCAAACGTTAGGGTCCAGAATCTTGTCATAAAAAGAGGGCACCACACCAAATTTTAAGTTTACAGTGCTAAGAGATTCCAAATTAACACCCTTTTTAACGAGCTTATATCAGGCTAGGTGTTCACAGTTAATTCCTTCTTGTTTTGAGACATACTCAATTACATTTTGCACAGAAACATTAGGCTTGAAGGAGGATACATACACCCATTACTTTTTAATAGAAACTTCCAGCACAGTGTTGGTATTCCTACCAACTACGACGTTTTTACGCTTTTTTATTTGGTGGCATAGTCGACCATTCGTGCAGGCCTCTAGCATTCGCCAACAAATTAGCAGCAGGTGAAGTAACAGAGGACGTTGCTATAGCAGTCCCATTATTCACCGCAGTAGCATTAACAGCATCAGAACTAGCAGAGCAGGTTCACTCGACACACAACGTTGTATTGGCGTGCCATACTTAACAGCGGCAGAGTAGGCTTGCATTCCAGGACTAATGTTAACCACAGAAGGGATACTAGAAGCGCCTGTATTAGCAGAAGAGACAGGTGACGATGGTATTGCAGTTCCGCCATTAGCAGCAGCAGCATTAACAGTTCCACCGTAGGCAGCAGTAGCGTTAACAGGGTCTGCAGTATGTGAGCCCGAAGGTTGTAACATAGAGGGCATCATCGCACCGTCGGATGTTCCTTCAGTGTTAGTGGGAGGAAGACCATTAGCACTCCGCTCCACTGGGGATAGAGCGGACATATGCTGAGCCCATGACATATTACGCATTGGAGAGACAGGAACGGCTACAGTTACCTCCTGTATATCAGTCACACGATTATTATTGCATTTATTGTACATAGCTCCACGAGAATTAACAGCACTACTTTTAGCGTTAACATTAGCCGAAACCTCTATCACTCCATTACATTTAGCATTATTGTTGTCCATGTCAATTTTGTTAAAAGCAATAAAAACCTTTTTGAGATCAGCAATTTGCAAAGATAGATCTTTGAATTTTTTATCAAAGGCATTTATTATGGTCTCAATCACAAACTTTTGACCGTCCAGAACAGAGTCATAGGCTTTGCAAGCTTTCCGGGTATCTTGATGCACCCCTCACACATATTGCCAATATGGCAGTTCGAATTGAACAAATTCACATCATATTCCGAGATGGGGCCAATACAGCAGCCACGATGAAAAGTTTTCTTACAGAGCCCAAAACATGGCACAATATAAATATCACTTCTCGAAAATGCTTTTCCACATTTTGCTTTTCACATTTTTCAACCATGGCGCGAAATTAGAGAAAACAAAAAGCAGGAGCCGAACGAAAACACGTCCGCTCTCAACAATAGACGTCAGGCGAATGAATATTCCACTGGAAATTTTCAGCACTGCTACAATTTATTTATTTTATTTATTTATTTATTACAGTCATTTGACCTATATACATTCACGTATATACATTTGAATTATGTATTGCAATATATAATAAAAGTAAAGTTAAAATTAATGCTTAAAATAAATTAACCTGTTACACTTTTCCTTCTAAGCTATATAATAGTTTATGTATATTTAACTGAGATAGCATATTCTCGATGCTGTTGGAATGGACGTGACCACGCAGTACCGTAAATATATCACGTACGATATGCGGTCTAAGAGCGTAATTTCCAGATCCGCCACATCTGAGCGGGTGGAAAGGACTAGTTTCCAAGCCGCCTCTGAATGGACGAAATCCAGAGTCGCGCTATTTGATCGGACGGAAAGGACTAATTTCCATGTCGACCTTCTTATTTCATACATTATGGGTGATCTGAATGGACTGGATCCAGAGTCATCCAGCTAGTACGGATGGAAAGGACTAGTTTCCATGCCGGACCTTTCTATCTAATAGCCAATGTTCTACAGTGATCAAGTAGCAGCCTTTTGAAGGTACCAACATTTCACAATTTTTTGTTTGAGCTGGAAGTTCATTGTAACATTTTAATCCCTTATAAAAGATATTCTTCTTATCTATTTCCGTTTTATACAGCGGCAGCCTGAAGCTATTATTTCTCCTGAGTAAATACGAATGGGTTTCACTATTATATCGTAGGATATCACTCAGATAATCTGGAATTCTACCTTGGTTTATGTTATTATGTTATGAATTTCATAGCGTGATAGAAAATTTGCTCTTTCAAGCTCAGCCAGTTTAATCGCATAGCCCTATTTTGCATTTTTTGAAGCTTATCTATTTGTGTGTCGCTTGCTATAAAAAACATTGTTGGACAGTATATGAAATGTGGTCCAACTATAGATCTGTAGACCAGAGTCTTATACCTCCTTCTTAAGTACTTACATGATCTTTTCATGAGACCAATTTTGTTTACCAATTTTTTCTACTGTGTAGTTAATATGTTCCTAAAATTTTAACTTTTGATCGATAATATACCTAGATATTTAATGATTCTCACTTTCTGAATTACTTCATCTTAATTTTTAAACTGTAATTATCGGAGCTAACGTTAGCTGCTCTAGATATGACCATAAACTTTGTCTTGTTCACATTTAATTGCAGTCTGTTTACGCACAACCATTTATACAAATAATGAAGGTCTTCTTGCATTTTAGTCATTGCATTGGGTAGATTACTGTCACTGAGGGTTAAGAGGGTATCGTCAGCGAACAATTTTACCTTACAATACTTCAATACTGAGTTTATGTCGTTGATATAAATATTAAAGAGTATTGGAGCTAACACCGACCCTTGTTGTAGACCAATATCTACTGCTACCTTTGTAAATAGAGCTGTGCCAATCACCGTTTGTTGCTTCCTATGGGCCCTGTCTCGCGATCCAGTATCGTGATCCATATTGATGCATGATGCTCCACTCTCTGCTATGCTACACCTTCAATATTTATCGCGTCATTATTTTCAAACTTTTGAACTGTGCTAATCGTTTTTAAATAAGAAAAATGCAAGAAAATTCAAAAAGAGCATGTTTAGCCATATTACTGGCATTTGCATTAAAAAAAGAAACAAAGAGGAAGTATTGGAGTCGAAGATGGTACCTGGAGCGGCATAGGTACACTCATTTGAGATTATTGGATTCGTGTCGACTTTGCAAGGAATTAAGCGACTACGAAAATTACTTTCGGATCTCCACTGAAAGTTTCGACCATATTCTTGAATTAATCAGCCCATATATAACTAAGCAAGATACAGTTATGAGAGCTGCAATTGCGCCAAAAGAAAAACTGGCGGTGACTTTGCATTATTTAGCAACAGGAAGGTATGTACCCAAATCTAATGATATTTGTTCACAACTTATTGTGATTATTTTACAGCTACTTTAAGCAGGTGCGGTATACAGCGATTATGTCGCGGCAAGCAATAAGCGAAGCGATCATGGATACATGTGAAGCTTTGATATACGCTCTTCGAAACTGCATTAAAGTAAGTGTACTAAATGATACACATGTACATATGGTATTTTGTTATAATTTATTCAGAGAACTGTGCAAATAAATACATATGATTTATGTAATAATTTTAGTTGCCAGGGAATGATGAAAAAGAGATCTTAGTGAGTATTCCTCTGTGCTTTGTATTTCTTCAGTGGCACCTACTTCAGTATTGTATATTAGCAATGCTTGGCCACTTGGAGGCAATTGCGAGGAAAAACTAGATTGCGAAGATAGAATAGGAGACGGAGTATGTGGGTAGTTAGGTGTTATATATTCACTCTGCAGAGGCATTCCAAAATTGGTGTCTGGTGAAGGTGTTGGCGGTGGTACATAAATAATTGGCGGTCTTTGGACTCGAATAGCTTTAATATCTGGTTGCGGTGATGATTCAGAGAAACGTGGTAATGGTGGTAATTGATTATACATTGTGGGTTCTGGTGTCGGAGCTGATGACACATCCGCGTTGCAAGCGTCTGGATATACAATTACTTTAACAGAGTTACGTCTCAAGTTACCCAGTTCTGCTTCAAATAAAATATCATTAATTCCTTTTTCAGCTAGCATACGCTGCGTTGGATTTAGATGCTCTAATTTTTCACTCCAGTATAATGCCGTTGCGTTTATGTTTGTAGAACTTTGGGGTGCAGACAATAGGGAACATGGCTTTTCAATTAGCTCGTTTTGTTTACCCACTGCACAATTTTTTTTGTTTTTCCGAGGAGGAGCCAACTCGCTAATAGATGAAAAGAAAGTGTTAGATAAGTCCTCTCTACTTGTCTGCTCCTCAACTTGCACCAATTCGTCCACATTTTGCGATTCTACCTGGTTCTGAAAGAAAGAAAATTATTGTTAATTAATAAAATTGATTTTAATTCTTTACATTTATGCCCGTTTGCACCAATCAATTTTAAAATTATCAGCCTGTTAAAATTTAAAATGATAAAATGTAGTTCGGAAAATTTGTCATTTTAAATTTTAACGGTCTGATAAATTTTAAAATTGATTGGTGAAACTGAGAGTTAATTTTATATTTTATTTATAAAATGGATTTCAAATTTCTTTTTTTAGATGCCTAGTACAGCAGAAGAGTGGAGAAGTGTTTCTGATGAATTTCGTGTATTACATAATTTTTATAACTGCATCGGCGCAGTTGACGGGAAACACGTAAAAATAAAGCGTCCAAATGGTTCGGGAGCGCTATATTATAACTATAAAGGAACATACAGTATCGTTCTTATGGCTATTGCGAATGCTAAAAAGGAATTTGTCATGGTTGATATTGGATGCAATGGACGCGTGTCTGATGGTGGTGTCTTGTTTTACACTAAATTCTGGGAGCGTTTGCAACAAAATCGTTTAAATATACCGGAATGGACACCATTGCCAAACACCTCGGAATCATTCCCATATGTTTTTATAGGAGACGAAGCTTTCGCGCTAGGCCCTAACTTTATAAAGCCTTATCCTCAAAAAAGAGTATCACAAGAAGAGCAATTGTTTAATAAACGGTTATCGAAGGCTAGATGTGTCATTGAGTGTGCGTTTGGTATCCTCGCCAATAAATTTGGAGTTTTCCAGAAAGCCATAAGTCTCAGCCCGCAGAAAGCCGCAAAAGTGACAGCAGCTTGTTGTTATCTGCACAATTATTTAATGAGAAAAGATTCTAAATATCAGGCACCAAATTCCAATGAGTATAATTTTCAATTAACCACCGTACAAAGCAGTTCGGCGCGAAATTCAACAAGATGTGCCAAAACTATAAGAGACAAATTTTGCAAATATTACAATGACGAATATAGATGCTAATTTTTACCACTCAATTTTTATCACTTATGTATATGAAAAAAAAAGAATAATAAAAGTTTTCACTTAAAACAACAGACAATCTACATACTACTTTCTTTTCTTTCCACCTTTATAGCTAGGTATTCACTAGAGTATGAGTAGAATTCAAGGAAATCTTTAAAACAAATTTACTTACCAGGTCAACAGGCTTCTCATTTTTATTTAAAAAGTGATGAGCGTTAAATGTCCAAGACTTTGGAATATAAACGTCTTCTGTACCAGCTCCGGAGCGCTTGGAGTCAATAATTTTTTTCAATTCCTTGCGATAATTTGATCGTAAATTTATTTTTTTTCGGACATCACCTACAGTGGCGTTATCATTAATTTTTTTTAAGATTAGAAATAATTTCTCATGTCCGGCCGTTCTTTTTATTTTATTCATGTAGCTTTTGGACGAAGGATCCCACAATTCCGACATACTTTCCAATTGTAGGATAAACTCCTTCAAACACCTTTGGTCATTCGTTAATCCCAACACCGCCGGCTGGATATGTGCGCTTTCGTCGTCCGACATTATTAAAAATTACCACTGCCAAATAAATAATTAATCCAATAATTAACGTTTCGCCTTTAACATTTAAATCTCCACTTTATTTTGAAATACACACGTATTGACGTATCGCGAACGAAATATGCTACACGTTCAATATTTATTGACAATACTGCGATCCGCGATCCAGATTTCAAAATTTCTAGAAATTTTGCGATATGGATCACGATCCATCAATATTGCATGCTACACAGTCAATAAATATCGCGATACTTGGATCAGGTCAATAAATATTGATCGGGAGACATGGCCCTATGAGAAAGAAAACTACGGAACCATGTAAGTTCGATGTTATCCATACCAATACATTCGAGTTTTTTTAGCATTATTTCCATGTCGATCGTCTCGAAGGCTCTCTTAAGGTCCACAAACACCGCCAAGATAGTTTTCTTGGAATTCAGGTCCTCCTTCCATTGTGATAAGATCAAGTTTAGAGCTGTTTCGCATGAGTTATTAGCCCTAAAACCGGACTGCTCCTTAATGAGTATTTTATTTGACTCAATATAGTTTAATATTTTATTTTTTACAACCGTTTCCAGTATTTTTTCTAAGTTGGGAAGGGTGTTTATTGGCCTGAGTTCCTCCGATTTTAAGTGTGTTTTTGACCTTTTTTATTGAGACAATGGTTGAAGTTTTCCATTCTGTCGGAACTATTTCCAACTGAAGGCTCTTATTTACTAATAGGGCGTAAAAGTGACCCATGTATTCAACGGAGTCTTTGATTACACCCTCGGATAATAAATTATTTCCACCAATTTTTATCTTGAACTTCTTTACTATATGGATAATATCATCTGTACTAATCTCACAAAATTTTTTTTTTGCGAGCTTTTAGAACCTTAACGACGGTTCTGTTATTTGGCAAGGATTGAAGACTTTACGATGCCAGGTTAATCAAATTTGGTGCTCTGTAGTAGAGATGTCCTTTTATATGTAATCAATTTTCGTTGTACTCTTCTGTAATCGATTGTTTGGTTATACGTTGAAGTAGTGCAAACAGCTGCTGGCTCATGAATGTGTGTGTTGACGTTATTTCTTTATCTCAGCGTTTGAGACTAATGCTTATATGTTGAGAGAGTCTTTGATTTCTTCTTGGTGGAGGTGACTTGATCAATGCTTTTGTTTCTCCTCTTTGTATCGGACAATCACAGATAAATAAACAGATACGACACAAGACAAACACTATGCTGAAACACAAAAATATATTGACAATTAGTACATAACCTATGTAAAACGAAAGTTTTGTAATTGCATATATACTAAAAAGATTGTTCCTTTAGTTCTTTATACTTTTTTCCATTGTTTTGCAAAAATTTTTTTATTTTATTTTATTTTATTTTTTTGTTCTTGTTATTTCTAGGCGATATTTGTATTTTATTTTTTTGTGTATATAAGTTCATTTTTTCATCATTTTTTTTTTCTCAATACCTTTTTTTTAAAGTGCTTTATCCAGCTCATTACTGTGCAGGAAGTCTACTAGCTACCTATACACCGTGGGGTTTTTTGACAAAAAAATCTGATTGCAGTTATGGCAAGTTAGAAATAGTGGGTTTCCGTTTCTCTGGTTTCTATATTTAGTGCAGTCAAAAATGAGGTGGTCAGGCGTTTCTTTGGTATTGCATGTGTTGCAAGTGTCCGATCTATAATTTAGAAATTTGTTTAGATAAGTTTTGCCATAGGTGTGCCCTGTGGCGATTCTGTTTAGTAGTTTTATGTCGTACGTTTCAAGGTCCAGTTTTTTGTTTTTAAACCATGTCTGTTTTTCTTTTAATGTGCAGAAATTATTTATGTCAGGGTCCCAGTTTGGCAGTTTGTCCATGAATTCTGCTTTGGCTTCAGTCCATAGTATGTTGCTGATTCTTATGAGCGCTTCACAGGGCGTAAGTTTAGGGGGTAGAGATCTTCCATGAACTGTTGCTGTTTTAGCTGCTTCGTCTGCTTTTTCGTTTATCTTTATGCCTACGTGGCTGGGTGTCCAAACTATTTTGATGCTTTCAATACTTGACTGTTGAAGTCTTTTGTGTATTTCCGCTACTATGAAGTTCTGGGTGGTTTGGCTGTTTAGGGCTAGGATTGCTGACTGACTATCTGTAAATATTGCAATTTTTTTATTTCCGCTGTTACTTGCAATGGTGATCGCTTGTGACAAAGCAACTAGCTCCCCGTACGTGGACGTGAAGTTTCCATTCACATTGAAAAGATAAGAGACATTAGTAGATGCCACATATACTGCGCATCCAACTTTATTGCTCGATACCGATGCGTCAGTTGCGTACATATCGTATCCTTCTTCTATCAGAGTTTTGATTTTTTGATTATACAGGGCTTTAAGTTCTAGGGGGGAAATATTTCTTTTTGATTGTTTTAACTCGGATGCGAGGCACATAAGGTTGTCATGTCTACTGAAAGTAACGTTAGTGTCTATATTATTTAAGATTACCTTGAATTTTTCATAAGTCAGGCTGTAGCTAGAATTAGTTGGAGGTCTGTTTGGAATTTGTGTTCTAGATCCGGGTTGAGGAACCACTGCTTGATTAGCTCTTTCGCCGTCAGCCAGACTGCTCTGGACAGTGGTGGGAGTTCGCATGCTATGGCGTATCTCATAAGAGTGGGGGTGTTTGGTGGCACTCCAAGACATCTCCGCAGTGTTTCGTTCAAGCTGGTTTGCAGTTGTTTATTGTATACTTTCGGCGCATTGGCATAGCTGGTGCTGGCGTATTCTGCCTTTGACCGGACAAATGCTTTGAAAAGATTGATTGAAGTTTTAGGTGAAATGCCTGCTTTGATGGACGTTAACTTTGAAATTAGGTTTTTACCAGAAGTTATTGCTTTTTTAACATTGCTGACGTGAGCCTTGATTGTGGAGTTGGCGCTGATTGTCCTTCCTAACCATTTAAAATGTAGAACTTGCTCAATGTTTGTGCCGTTGACTAGTATGTTGAAATCTTGTTTTTTATTTGCAGACATATGCATAAATTTGGTTTTTTCTAAGTTGAATTTTAGATTTAAAAACTGACATTTTACCTGTAATTCTTCAATTTTGTTTTGCAAATTGTGTGCTGCTGTAATTTTATTAGTATTTGTTGATATAATGGCTAGATCGTCGGCAAATTGAAAGAGTTGTGTTTGGGTATCATTTATTTCGTGAAGCTGGGCTGTGTAAATGTTAAAAAGTGTAGGCGATAAACAACTTCCTTGAGGGAGGCCAGAGGTAATTTCAACTGTATGGTTTCCTAAGGTGGGAGTCCTTTTTGAGAAGAAGTTGTAAGTCCAGTTAGCTATTGACATGTCGATGTTATTCTGTAATAAAATATTATAAAGTAAGCACAGGTTGACTCTATTGTAAGCGTTTGACAAGTCCAGAAAATAGATAAAAACATAGTTTCTGCATCTCTTTTTTCCGCTACGAGATGGAGCATCTCGTTCATGCACCTTGTCGCCGATCTCTGTTTACGATATGCAAAACTTTTCTTGGGTAGCAGATTGTTTGTTTCTATGAATGTGTTCAGCGATTCTTTCACCATCATGTTGATGCTTTTTGCCACTACGGGTATGAGCGAAATAGGTCTGAAGTTGTTTATGTCGTCAGTGCTCTTGTTGGCTTTTGGTATTGGGATTACCTTAATTTGTCTCCAAGAATTTAGTACAATTTTGCTATAGAAATGCTCCTTGAGAGATGTGAATAACCCTTGCTTAGACTCCGGTGTAAGTTGCTTTAACATGTTGAGAGTCATTCTGTCTATACCTCCTGCAGTAGATTGTTTTTCAAGATTATTGTACGAAAAGTCGACAACATTGTTACTAGCATTGGTTGCCACGGCGAGGACTGGAGGGGTGTTATTACGGGCGTTGTTGTCTTGTTCCGCTTGGTTTTTAATACGATCAAGGAAATTCCGATCATCTTCGGCTGCACAATTATTTGGAGAGCGTTTGTTTCCTCTGACATTCCTTATAAAGTTCCAGGAACTTTTTGTATTTGGGCAGGAATTGATCTCTTCAATTTTGTTGTTGTAGTTTACTTTTTTTGCTTCCTTCACTGCCTTCTTCCAGTCCTCCGTTGCTATTACCGATGCTTCCATATCGTCTCTACTATTTGTACGGTTAGCCTTTTTCCGTTTAGCCACATGTAACCTATGCAGTTTCTCGAGGTCTTTGTTCCACCATGCTTTAGGTGTACGGTTTGACGTATTTAAGTCTATTTTGATTTTATTCTTAGCCCTATCAATGTCGGATGCCAGATTTTCAAGATTTGAGAAACTTACCTTGGATATTTCCTGAGCAAGTCGCTGTTTGGGTATGAAGTAGTTGGGTTTCTTTCCTGTGTTAGTAATTTCGATGGTGATTGGGAAATGTTTGCTGCCCCCTAGGTGTACTTGGTGACATGTCCACTTTCTACTGTTACTGCTGATGTTTGTAAATGTTACGTCGATTACACTTCCTGTGCTATTGTTGGTGAGGTGGGTGATGGCTCCGTTGTTGACGCACTGTAGGTTTGTGCTGATTGTTTCGTTGACAACTATGTTACCTTTGGCATTGCTTAATCTGTCTCCCCAAGCTTGATGTCTGGCGTTGAGATCACCAGTGAGAATTACATTTTCGTGGTTACTAAGGGCAAGTAGTACACGGTTTAATTCATTAGTAAAGTCAGTCATATTGAGGTTGGGAGGGAAGTAGATATTGCAGATTGTAATGTTACTAATTAAATTAGTTGTTTTAGCTATGAGAATATCGAAATTTGAGATAAATTTGATTTTAGTAAATTTAATACCTTTTTTGAATCCTATTCCTACGCCGCCGTACCCGTCTGTTCTGGTTTTTTTTAATATATTGAAGTTGATTAAATTGTGTTGGGTTGTTTGGTTGTCGTGCGAGAAAATCTCCTGGAGACACACTATGTCAATGTTATTTTTGTAGTTAAAGAAATCAACATAGCTTTTATTAGTTTTTAAACTTTGAATGTTATATTGTAGTATTTTTATTGTTCCTGTCATCTTTGTTTATTGAATTGATGCTATCTATGTCTACCCTACCGATGTTTTGAATTAATTGTACTACTGGGTCATTAATATCAATGTCGTACCTTTGTATTAGTAAGTTAATTAGCCTTTCAATCTCCGTGACTTTTGTCCAGTTTGGTCCTTCATAGATTGGCAGTATTTTTTCTTTTGGTCTTGGTACACTGTTGCTACGCTGTGTTGGTGAGATAGCTTGTGTTATATTTTTTCCAAGTGCATGGCTGTATTTGATTGTTGTGATCTTTCTATTTACCACTTCGTCATTGTTGATTCTTGGTGTTTTTCTGGTTTCTAACCGTGGAAAGTTCCCTTCGTAATTTTCCAACATTGCAAATCTGTTGTTGTTGTTAAGATTGTAAATGCCGATTGCTTCAGGTTTAGATATTTTTTTTATAGTCATAATTTCAACCACTTGTTTCTCTTTGGCCCACTTTGCACATTTATTGCTTTCTAGAGAATTATGATTCTCCCCTCCACATAATATGCACGATTTTGTGATTTCTTTACATGTGCTGTTGCATCCCTCTGTTTTTCCACAGATGATACATCTGTTAGCCGCTTTACAGCCCATCTTCGTGTGCCCTAATTTTCCACAATTGTAGCAGTGCCTGATCCGTGGTATGAAATGAACAATTTTGATTTTAACATAGAAAATCTCTATCGCCTCTGGTAGTTCGTTGCCCTCGAATCCTATCTTAACTGAGTAAGTAGGAATACATTTTTCCTTATCACTGGGATCCCTTCTGGTGATCCTGGAGATTGATGTGATTGGAATATCTGATATTATGTTTTTCCTAATTTCCTCATCCGTGAAGTTAAGTGGAATCTGTCTGGCTACTCCAGTAGTTTCCACTAAACTTCTCGGGATGAAGGGTCTCAATTGGTTTGTTTATTTAATCAGTATTGTCAACACATTTATTTGCTGCCTCAAAGTTTTCGAAAAAAATTTTGTAAAGAGATCTGCCAATTGCTTTTATATTTTTTTGTATGCCCTCAATATCGTAGTGCCTTATCTTGTCCCAAAGGAAAAGACCATTTCTAATTTTTTCATTGTTGATTATTGTGGATTTTGAAGTGTCTACTAAGACACAAAAGTCACCCTTGTGTCTATTTGTATAGCGCGCACTGTCATACTTCTGTGGAGTCCATTATGTTGTCTTCTGTGGTGTTCATTTCCTTGCCTTTTGTCGCGTTTGTATGTTCACTGTCACTTTTCTTGCGGTTGTCGTTTTCATTGTTCTCTCTTTGTTTGTCTGCAGTGTTCGTTAAGTTTTTTGGTATATTTGTCGCGTATGTTCCCCTTTTCACAAGCATTCCCTGTAAAGGAATAGCTATGCCGTTATTATTGTCTGTCTTTGATTTTTTGGTTTTTGCGTAGCGTTAACTGTCTGTTTAGTACAGTCATCGTCTGTCCCTGGGTCGTTACTTGTAAAGTCACCTTTTTCCTTCTTGTTTTTATGCCTTTTCCTTGCACTTACAGTTTTGTTTTTTCTGCCAGTCTGAGCCTGGAGATTGCTTCTGCTCCTGGTTAAGCCACCCGGTATCAGACGCCGAAGCGTCACTCTCCATGTTAGCCGCGGCCAATTATTCACACAGTAAAACCCACCTTTGCCGATTTCTGGATAAAGCACTTGTAGACTATTGGTATATGTTTCTAAGAACTTTTTTTTTTTTTTTATGTAAATGTTACAATTTAGTTTTCTTTGTATAGGAACTTATTCCTAAGTTAAATGTTTACATTAACATGTAACACTGAACACTTGTACAAACACTTCACACACAATTGACGCAAAATTGGTTCCTTCTGTAGAAATCAACCTCCACCTTTTGATGTACGAACGCGAATGCTCTCACAAAATTTAAAGGTCCCTTGACTATTTTCCTGTTGAATCGGATCATAATTAGGGATAAATCGATACAAGTAAATCCAAGTACATACTCGATACTTTTCTCAATTCACCAAGTAGTTTTTTACTCGATACTTTTTACTGCGATCCAAGTAGGTATGGAAAAAAAGTACTTGTATCGGAAGCGCAAAACTTATTTTGCTTCAGCATCTTCTTTAAAAAGCAACCCATTAGAGGAATGTGCACTAAATTTCCGCAGCTATATAAGCAAGCCCGTCTATACGTAACTATTGTTGGGTCATCCGTCCCTTGCTAGAGGCTTTTTTCAGGTACAACTATCAGCCATGTTATAAAATTCGAAAATTTGAAATCGACTCGATTTCGATAATATTTCCGATGGTTTTTAACCCAAAAATTTACAAGTATCGCATTAAAATGATTTATTTCATATCTCTGCTGCTTCTTTTACGGTTTTTAATTAGAATATTCACTCTTTTCATCAGTTACAATTAAAAAACATTTGGCAAATCGAGTCGATTTCAAAGTTTCGAATTTCAGAACATGTCTTGGAAAAGTTGATTTTTTTTGGAGAAATATAAGAGTTATTATTTTATATGAAAAAACTTTATTTATTAATCTTGTAAAAATGTATTCTATTGCTTTTGTATGAAAAAATATTAGAGGATAAATAATCTTGTAAAATTGCATATTTTTGTGCAAAAAATGCAATAAATTTGAAAAATCTTCAAAATCGTAGTTCTTTGTACAAGTACTCGATACCTTTCCGATACTGAGTAGATATCGATACCTTGTTTGATTCAAGTACAAGTACTGATTTGAGTAATACCTTGATGGTATCGATTTATCCCTAATCATAATTAATGTTTTCTATATTCCTATTAATTTCGATGATACTATCAACAAAGAAATTGTTTAACTTGTCAGCGATTTCAGTACTATTGCCATATATTTTATCGTTGATTAGAACTTCTTTGACGTTTTCTTTGTGATCTGTATTATTGACAATATTCTTCAAATGTTTCCACATTAAGCGACCTATCACCTCTATTAATTTCCACCTTGTATTCCATAAATTGTATTTTTTTAATTCTAATCATTTTTTATACGCTTTCTTTATTTCATTGTATTCTACCCAATCACCAGTGATCACTGCCCTTTTGGTCTGTCATACCATTTATTTCTGATTTTGACAATTTAGGAAAACAACTGCTTAAACTGTGCGAGTTCATTTGACAACCTAAATTGTTTGGGTATAAGTGAAAAATAAGGCCCGTTCAGCTAAAAAAAAAGAAAAAGTGGACATAGTTCGCCTTCTTTCATTGATTCTAACGGTATAAAAGCTGTTTGGTGCCAATCAATAGGGGCGGTGCTAGGGGGTGGTAAAAACAGAATTTTCACTATTTTCAAAAGCTTATATTTCGAAAATTATTGAACCGATTTTCAAAACGCAAAAAGGTGTTCTCTGCAAAAGGTGTTCTGCCGCTTTTCTTTGGCAACACAGAAAGGAGAATTCTACGTTGTGAAGGCCGCCTACGCAGAAAGGTGTTCTCTGCAAAAGGTGTTCAGGCCCTTTTATTTGGCAACACTGAAAGAAGAATTCTACATAGTGAGTGTTATAATCCCTAAGCGCGGCTGAAGGCCGCCTACGCAGAAAGGAAGTCTACGCAAAAATACTGTGGATAGCGTAGCTTGATTAATTATCCGTTTAATTCTACAACTCAATCTTATAACAAATAAGGTGATTAAAAAAATGGTTTGTATATATTTCTTTAGTATTTTTTTAATTTTAATTAAATTTTTGTAAAAACTAAAGAGAGTAAGAATTTCTATTGCGCGATTTTTTACTCCAAATTTTCGCCTGCGGCGCTTTTCCTTTTTCATATAAAACTATAATTTTATATATATTTAGTCAAATATGATGTCCACAAGAGTTTTTTGCTACAAGTCACATATCAAATTAACGGTATTTTTGTGCTCTTTCTGATAAACATATCTGTTAATATAGTTAATACCGTATTTTTTAAAGAAAAACATACGTTTTTTACCTTTTCTCGCAATGTGTATATATTATATACATAGGTATATATATCGAATGAAAGGCCCTTCAATCACCTTTCCCACTGTGTCCATGTTTAGAAAATTGGTTCAATAGTTTTCGAAATATAAGCTTTTGAAAATGTTTGATAATTCCACGTTTAGCCCCCCCTATCGCCGCCTCTGTCAATTTGCACAAAAAAAAATATGCCGTTAAAATCCGGAAAAGGGGGCGGGCCACGCCCACTTTTTTTCTCTAGCTCAAAGGTCAGTATTCTTTAGGTGTTCCATAGCTTTAGTTGTAACTTAGGATAGTTTCGACGAAGTTGTGAACTAATACTACGTTTAAACGTAAGCTATTTGCAAATAAAAATAATTTGCAAATACCTAACTCACTGTTTATTCGATGGTGAAAAATTCTTTTTTAATATTGCCTGATTATAAAAAGGCAATAATATGACCATCGAACAAGAAAATAAAGTTAAAAATGGCAACGTCTTCATTATAAAAAGGCAATAAGATGACCATCGAAAAAGAAAATAAACCTAAGAATGGCGGCGTCTTGCGCTTATTTGCAAATAGTACCACTAATCAATACTTATTTGCGTGATTTAGTTATTTGCAAAGGAAAATTAACTCAGCGTTTATACGGCAAAGTTTACCATTTGGAAATTGTTATTTGCAAATAATACGTGCGTATAAACGTAGTATAAATATGACTATGAACATGCGTAA